AGAGTTATTACTCAAATCAATCACCATGAAAATTTGGGGACTAGGGCTTTTCAAGCATAGTTTGGCAGACCCTGTTGGTGAGGGTTGGTGTGTCCCAGTGGACCCACTGGTCATCAGAAAAGCCAAAACCTGAAAAAACGTCTCAAAAGGCCAATCTTAAATTCTACAATGGTGATGTTATCTGCAGGAGTAATTGGAAAAGTTGCAAATCTGTGACCTCCAGAATAACGGCTGGTAATGTTTGTGTCTATCCCTTAGCTGAATTCAGGCTCCTCACATCCTCCTAACCTAGTGGACTTTCATTAGCTTTACCAAGGTGGTTTAGTTTTGGTCAAAGGCTATTATCATTTAAACTGTAAACTAAATGTCTCCCAAAGTTATCTTGGTCTAAGCCCAGGATTGATTAACGGCAGTCTGAAGGTTAAAGGCAAGATGGAGGTTAGTTAGATCAGATCTTTTTCACTGTCATAATTTTCTCACTTAATATTATTGCAAAGTGATTTCACAAACCCAATTTGATCAATAATAGGTGTGCTCCTGTAGGTCTTTGACTGGAGGGCATTGACAGAGGGATTATTGCACCAGCTCCTGACCAGTGCTACTGCAGAGCAGTGCTCTTCCATGAACAGCTGGTTCCCAGGCCAAGGCAAGTACAGAAATTGGGAGTTGTCAGAAGAATTGACAGCAATTTGACAAAGTAATTTTATGTCTGTTGGTTGAATCCAAAAATACAACACTGGGCTTGTGTTTCCGTATGCCAGTTTAAATTTAATTTTGCTAGTAAGTTTTAATTGTATCTTACAGGTGACCTGCAATAGATTAAAAAAGAAAGAGGCTGGGTGTGGTAGCTCATGCCTGTAATCCCAGCACTTTGGGAGGCTGAGGCAGGCGGATCACCCGAGGTCAGGAGTTCGAGACCAGCCTGGCCAAAATGGAGAAACCTCGTCTCTACCAAAAATACAAAATTAGCCAGGTGTGGTAGCGCATGCCTGTAATCACAGCTACTTGGGAGGCTGAGGCAGAAGAATCGCTTGAACCTGGGGAGGTATAGGTTGTGGTGAACCAAGATTGTGCCATTGCATTCCAGCCTGGGCAACACAAAAGAAAGAAAAGAAAGAAAAGAAAAGAAAAGAAAAGAAAAGAAAAGAGAGAGAAGGGGAAGGGGAAAGGGAAAGGGTTAAGAGAGAAGGGGAAGGGGAAAGGGAAAGGGTTAAGGGAAAGGGGGAAGGAAGGAAGGAAAAAAGAAAAGGAAGGGAGGGAGGGAGAGAGGAAGGGAAGGAGGAAAAGAAAGAAAAAGGAAGGAAGGAAGAAAAAAGAAAGAAAGAAAAAGAAAGAAAGAAAAGAAAAGAAAAGACTGGCTCCTTATCAGAAACAGTTTGAAAAGCACTGTCCTAAACCGTGTCCTAACACTGTCCTATTCTCTAATGCTTTTCTTTCCAACACTGCTATTACATTAAGATTCTTAAAATTCTGCTTTTAATGTGTAACATTCTCAAGCATCTTTAACATTACAATCTCCTCTGTTTTCTAGTTGAAGATGGAGAAAACTAATATATTTTGAGTACATACCACATGCTATAAATTGTGCAAATCTAAACATACTCCAACACCCAGGACTTTATTTTTTAAAATTGTGTTAAATAAATTTAATTGTGTATGTGTATTTAAGGCATACAACATAATGTTGTGGGATACATATAGATAGTAATGTGGTTACTATAGTGAGGCAAATTAACATATCCATCATCTCATGCAATTACCCATTTGCGTGTGTGTATGTGTCCTGAGGAGCTAAAATCTACTCATTTAGCAGAATTCCCAAATAAAGTACAATTTTATTAACTATAGACTTCATGTTGTTCATTAGATATCTAGATTTGTTCATCCCACTCATCTGCTACTTTGTAAACTCTAACCTACATGTCTCCATTTCCTCTCTCCTCCCAACCCCTGCCCTTCCCCTGGTAACCACACCCACAATTTCTCTCTCTCTGTATATTTGACTTTTTTTTTTTTTTTTTTTAAGATTCCACATGTAAGTGAGATTTTCACTGGTAGAGGATGTCAGTGCCTGAAGGGTTGAAGGTCAGGAGCAATGACTCATTACAGAATGAAGAGGACTTCCTGAACAATTCGCTTCCAAAAGAAAAGGGAGAAGAAGAAATCCAAGAAGACATCAGCACTTTCACCTTTTATGTCTTCTAGGTTTGATAGGGGTCTGCTATTCCACCCTCAATTCAGGCAAGTCTGTTAGCAGCAGTGAATCTGAATTTGTTTGGGTCTGCAGCAACCTCAATTCTTGCCTCCCCAGAATAAAGAATTTGACTGAGGGGCATGAGGCATAAGGACAGATTGAGGCAAGTTTTAAAGTGGGAGTGAAAGTTTATTAAAAAGTTTTAGAGCAGGAACAAAAGGAAGTAAAGTATACTTGGAAGAGGCCAAGCAGGTGACTTGAGAGATCAAGTGCATGGTTTGACCTTCGACTTGGGGTCTTATACGTTGGCATTCCACGTGCACAGTGACCTGCCAGCACTTGAGAGGGGCCGCTTGGGCATTGCGTTTACTGGAGTTGTATGCATGCTCACTTGAGGCGTTCTTCCCTTACTAGTCAAGTGTTCCTAGAAGGTCCTATACCAGTTAAACTCTGCCATTTTGCTGCTTGGTGAACATACGTGAACCCGCCCGCCCAACTCCATCGGGAAGCTGCTGATCACCAGTTTGAGGAGTTTCTATCTATTGGGAGACTGCCTTTCCCTGGCGCTGGCTGCAACAAATTGTTATTTTACAGAGGCAGTTTAACAACTGCCTGACCATCACCTGATGGTTGCCAGACATTCCTGATGAAGGGGGGCCTCTCCTGCCCTGTTCATGTCTGCCTGGCTACCTACTGTAACAAGCCTTGGCTCCAGGACATTTGGGCTTCTCAAGGAAGAAAACCAGAGTTTGCTTTGGTAAGTGTCTCCATGGTAAAAGCCTACCTCTTTGACCTTTCTGCTTTCACTTGCTTTTTAGCCTCTGAAAAATCCCAACTTCTCATCCATTTATTGAAGTCTTCTTCATTAAATGTCATTTTACATTCTACTTTCTCCAGTGTTTTTATGCATTTTCACTGTGAGCCAAGAAAAATGACTCACTGACTGGTAGTTCTATTTACTGTTTATTTGGAATTTCGCTGTTTTCATTTCAAAAATGCCTTAGTGTGTTAAAGCAAACTAAACATGGCCTGAGAAGGACTCCATACCTCTGCATTTTAGTCCTGGCGCATGAACTGCTACCTAACTTAATAGGTAGGCAAGATTGAAAACCTAACTCAGGAGTATGTGCCTGTAACAATCTCTGAGTCTTGGCCAATCCCAGCAGCCATGTTTCAACTAGTCATTTACTGCTGTGTTCAAACTGTGTTCAAATAAGGCAAATGCTGAGCTGTAACCAATCCAGCTGTTTCTGTACCTCACTTCCAATTTCTGTACATCACATTATATTTTTGTCTATAAATTTGTTCTGACCGCGAGGCACCTCTATGACAGAGGTACTGTCAGAGGTATTTGAACCAGAGCAATTGTATCTTAAATAGGGACTTGATAAAATAACGCTAAGACCTGCTAGCCTACATTCCCAGTAAGTTAAGGCATTCTTAGTCACAGGATGAGACAGGAGGTCAGCACAAGATACAGGTCATACAGACCTTGCTGATAAAACAGTTGCAGCGAAGAAGCCTGCTAAATCCCACCAAAACCAAGATGGTAATGAGAGTGACCTCTGGTCTTCTCACTGCTACACTCCCACCAGCACCATGACACTTTACAAATGCCATGGGCATGTCAGGAAGTTACCCTATGTGGTCTAAAAATGGGGAGGCATGAATAATCCACCCCTTGTTTAACATATAATCAAGAAATAACCATAAAAATGGGCAACCAGCAGCCCTCAGGGCTGCTCTGTCTATGAACTAGCCATGCTCTATTCCTTTACTATCTTTAAATCTCTTTCAATTTAGGCTAGAAGTCCAATGCGCTGTCCATTACACCACAGAGCCTGCTTGCTGTTCCTTTACTTTCTTAATAAACTTACTTTCACTTTGCTGTATGATTTTGCCTCGAATTCTTTCTTGTGTGAGATCCAAGAATGCTCTCTGGAGTCTTGATCAGGACCCCTTTCCGGTAACAGTACTATTATTTTCTTTATATTACAGTTGAAGAAATGGAAGTTCCAAGAAGCTGAGGGACTCAGGCTTGTAGATAGAGGAGAGGACAGATTGAAGGTCAGGCTGTCAGGTGGCACAGCAAATGCATAACCAGGAAGATATGCAGCCATGCATCTCTGAGGTCAGCACACACTTGTGTCTCTTGAAGTCGTGGGTTTGGGTCTGGGGTGGCTGTTGTTTTTGGCAGCTGGATGGGACACTAAGGACACCTTGTCAACTGAACCCTCCCTATTTTACCTATGAGGAAATAAGTTTGTGATTTGTGCTACACAGTTAGAAGTGGCAGAAATGAGATCAGAAGCCTTGCCTTCCAACACTTATCAAGTGTCTATCCACGTACTTAATCCTGAAGTCAGATATTTTATTGGTGTTTTATAAACTATCTGAGCAAACCGATGTGGGAGATACACAGAGTGTATTATTTATATAGAAATCCAGCAAGTTGAAAATTGTTCTCACCCTAGGTCAGTTTGTTATTGTAACATTTACAATATACAGCAAGCAATAAAACAAGATAACACAAAGCAAAGTAATCTGAATATGAACCCTGAAAGAAGTAACAGATGTCCAGTTAGATTCTACTGTAATGCCACCATTATTAGAGCCACTCCACCCTTCTAGTATGCCAGAGGGCCATGTGAACTAACTGGTTCAGCAAGAAAAAAAAAAAAATGTTTTAAGTGTAAGTAAAACTTCCTCCATCTGCTAAGGCATACTGATCTTCTGTAAACAGGTACAATAAAATATAATATAAATAAAAGCCAAGGCTTCCCTGAATGAGAATGTGAACTATCACCTCCCATTCTCAGCTCATCTCACCAGTCTCTTGTGTCTCAGGCACCAGCAAGCCACCTGTTGGTCCTTCCCAACAAGGCTATGCAGGAGGACAGGTCTCTGCATAACCTTGATCCACCCAGATTTCTTGCACTGAGAATATGACATCCTGAGATAAGGAGAAAGGCCCCGAACCACCAGGCTATATTCTGTGACACTTGCACTCAGCAAGTCCCATGTCTCCCAGGATATAAAAGCCCAGGGTGGTGTGCTTTCGGTTTCCTTAGCTGTAGTGTGACATGGGATCTGTGCAGATGAGACTCCACCCACCCTGGGCGGCTTTCCTGAGGTCTGGAGGACCAGCTTGTCATGGATCCTAGGCTTTAGTTTATCCTTGCTGCTTATCTGTGAGTATTACATCTGTTTGCCTAACTTGGTATGTATGAGTGCTCTGTCTCACCAGACTCATACAAGTGGTAAAGAACCTTTGCAGGCTAACCCTTTTAACAAGAGTGAAGATCAGGCCTTGAAACAGATTTAAATCCAGACACACTACCTCTGAGACTGGGGTACTCACATGTTCTAGCCAAGTACCTAAGCACTCCACTTATCCCACCTGTAATAAACTTGAGGTTACACAAGGAAGGAAACCTGCCACGTTCACCTTTGTCTCCTTACCGTCTACCACAGCCCTAATGCATACTGGGAGGGCAGTACCTATCTTCAGAATGCTGTCACATTAGATAATAAAGGACTCAATGAGTTAATGGGTGTCACAGTGACTAAAAATCAGGGATAGAATGGTTCACATGTAGTGTATTCCTTCTGTGGTCACAGACAATGTCTGTGTGGAAACATTAGAAGATTTCAGTTCAACTCAAACCCCAGATAAACCACTAGTGAGATATGGCTGATAAAAATGGCACAGCCTTAAGACTGACTTAACAGGAGTATGGTGCTCAGAAGAAAGGTTAATAGGGGAGTCTTCACTCCTGTGTCACTTCCCAGGCATTCTAAATGCTGTGCTCAATCTAATGGGAGCTGGTCCTTCTTTTGTCCTTTCTCTTCACATTTTTATCTTCCACTTCGAAGAAGGCTTCCCATCCCTTCTTTTATCTCTCTCTACCATCCTTCTTGGAGTTCTTTCTGGTTCCACAATATCAGTCCCCACACTCTCGACTTATATCTGTTTCCCCTGGAATCCCTATTATGATGCTATAGCACTTAACTTTTTGCTTAATATTTTAGCTATTTATACACACATCTTCTTTAACACTGCAAAGCACTGCTCAAAAGAAAGCAATTGTCATTATCTTTTGTTAGATTTGCTCCATGTATGTTTTATATCTATTACTTCTCTTTGCCATCAGTAGATTGTAATCTCTACATTTCTTTGTAAATTACATGTTGCCCCTAGCTAGTTGTTCTGAACAAAGAACAAATGTTGCTAATCTGGTGATCTACAAGCCATAAAAAGAGGAAGCTGACATGCTAGGAAGGAACAAGAACACACACTCCAAGACAGGAGTGAGGTTTTGAAACATCCCTTAGTATATAACTACATACATGTATGTTCTGGTTACATTTTCATGTCCACAGTTCAGTAAGCAACTCAGGATATAAACAATTCCCAGGAGAGGAAATAAAAATGGCTAATAAACATAGGCAAAGATGTTCCATCTCAGTGATTAAGAAGGGAAATTCAAATTAAACAAAATGAGACACCATCATTTGCCCATCACATTGCTAAAAACAGTGTCATTACATTTATATTAGTAAAAATCAGAAATAACTGAAATATCTGTCAAAAGTGAGGTGCTAAAATAAATTACATCCATGCTCTGAATACTATGTAGCCATCACAATGAAGCATATACATTTGTGTATACATATGGAAAAATGATTATGACATACTGTCAAATTTTTTAAAAGCAAGTTGCAAAGCACGTATTTTTGGGAAAAACCCATATGTTCTATGTTTCTATGTTCATATAAATACATATTCTAGTATCTATGTAATTGTAGGTGCAAAACCTAAAACTAAAACAAAGACACAAACGGAAACAAAGGTATGGAAAGAAAAACACTCAAGTGCTAACTGTGGTTACCCCTAGGGAAGTAAAACAGGAAGGATTTTTTCTTTTTATTTTGGGTACTTCTGTGCATTAAGTTTTGTTTAACACTAAAGTAATACTTTTGACTTTCTTTGAAATGAAAAATAAAACCAATAAAATGTGTGGTCATAAAAGTAGTTATAAAATGTTTTAACTATTCTAGAAAACAGTGACCCAACTTCAAGAACTGCATGCATGAATAGTCTAAGTCTTCTTTATAACTCTATGCTTGCAAAATTATATACACATATTTGTGTCAGTTACAGAAATCTGAAGCCCTATGTGGTAGCCTAGAAGAGTTGTTTCCATATTGTAGATGAAGCAAGAAAGAAACTAAAAGAAAACAAAATATTTAATACTTTATATAAATTGACAACCCAGGGACAGGGCCCTCAGAAACAATTTACCTGATTATTGTTTTATGTTAGGGATCAGAAATTCAAATGCAAGTATCAGAAATTACAAAGCCAGCTGGGAATAAAACAATACAGACAGTACAGAGAGTTCAAATACTGCCTAAAGGGAGCAGCCATTTCATAACTCCTGTTGAGAAGATGGGTCTGGTATTACCAGATCATTCAATGTTTCCAGAGAAACCAGGAATCAGAATTTTTATATCGATACTCTCCTGTTTTAAATTTTAGCAACTGATTTTTTTAAATCCTAAATACTGTGTTGATAAACACTGTGAAAGCCAAACAAAACTTACCTCCTGGCTGGATTTGGCCTGCAGCCTCCTGTTTGCCATTTTTGGGCTTTCCCATCTTTGAAGCGTTCTAGTGGACAAATTCTAACACAACAGTCCCCAATCTTTTTGGCACCAGGGACCAGTTTTGTGGAAGACAATTTTTCCACGAAGAGGTGGGGCATGGTTTCAGGATGAAATGTTCCACCTCGAATCAGGCATTAGATGCTCATAAGGAGTGCACAACCTAGATCCCTCATTTGAGCAGTTCACAATAGAGTTCGTGCTCCTAGGAGAATCTAATGCTGCAGCTGATATGACAGGAGGCGGAGCTCAGGTGGTACTGGCTCACCCACTGCCATCTCCTGCTGTGCCGCAGGAGATGGAGATATATATATATATGAGTTCAAAGATATTTCAGAAATATCTTGTTAAGTATCTCATTTTTTATTGTAGTGAAATATATAACATAAAATTTGCTGTATTAACCAATTTTAAGTACACGATTTAGTGGTATTAATTACAGATGCAATGTGCAACCACCACTAGCTATTTCCAAAAATTTTTCATCACCTTCAACAGAAGCTCTGTACCCATTAAACAATAACTTTAATTATTGCCTCCCCCAGTCCCAGACAACTTCTAATCTACTTTGTTTCTGTGACTTTGCTTATTCTAGGCACCTAACATAAATAGAATGATTCAATAGATTTCCTTTTGTGTCTGGCTTATTTCACTTAGCATAGTGTCTTCGAGGTTCATCCATGTTGTAGCATGTATCAGAACACCAGTTTTTCATGGCTCATTAATATTCCATTATACGTGAATACCACAATACCACATTTTCTTTTTTTGTTTGTTTTTTGTTTTTGAGACAGTCTTGCTCTGTTGCCCAGGCTGGAGTGCAGTGGCGGGATCTTGGCTCACTGCAAGCTCCACATCCTGGGTTCACACCATTCTCCTGCCTCAGCTTCCTGAGTAGCTGGGACTACAGGTGCCCACCACCACATCTAGCTAATTTTTTGTATTTTTAGTAGAGACAGGGTTTCACTGTGTTAGCCAGGATGGTCTCGATCTCCTGACCTCGTGATCCACCCTCCTCAGCCTCCCAAAGTGCTGGGATTATAGGCGTGAGCCACCGTGCCTGACGCCCATTTTCTTTATCCATTCATCTTCTGATGGACAATTGAGTTGTTTTTACCTTTTGCAGATTGTGAGTCATGCTTAAAACATTTGTGTACAAGTATGTGTTTGAATCCCTGCTTTTGATTCTATACCTACGAGTAGAATTACTGGGTAGCATATACTGGGTACACTGAGTATTACTGGGTAATGTATACTGGGTAATTCTATACTTAACTTTTTGAGGGACCACCAAACTGTTTTCATAGTGACTGTACATTTTACATTCCCATCATTAATGAATATAAAATGCTCATTTTTAAGATGAAGAACCCATGGGCAATGCCAGTGAGACAGCTCAACCTCAGACACAGGAAGTCAGCTGCAATGCACAGCTGACGTCAGAAACCAGATATCTTGACTCTCAGTGTAGACACAGCCCTCTTTCCAAGGTTAAATTGATTAAGATTTAAACCAGATGATCAGGCAAATGGCTGGAATGTCTATGCAAAGACTGGGTCGTTACAAATAGATCACTTGATATCTTTAGAAGAAAGAATTTGAGTAAGTTCTAGACTCTTTTCTCCATCACGGAATGTGGTTTTCTTTTACCCTTTTCTTCCTCAGGCCTAGGTTCTAAAAGTAGATTAGATCATATTTGTTTTTAGCCTGGTACCTAATTGTAGGATAGTCATAAAATGTCTTTTATCATTATTAGAACTACATTCTAAAATAACAGATTAAAAAAATTCCTTGAAATGCAATACATATTTATTTCAGAAAAACTGAAAAACTCAGAAAAGTAGAAAGGTAAAAAAAAAAAAAGATCACTCAGAGAATGGTAGACTAGATCATATTTGTTTTTAGCCTGGTACCTAATTATAGGATAATCATAAAATGTCTTTTATCATTATTAGAACTATAATTCTAAAATAACAGCTTTAAAAAATTCCTTGAAATGCAATACATAGTTATTTCAGAAAAACTGAAAAACTCAGAAAAGTAGAAAGAAAAAAAAAAGATCACTCAGAGAACGGTCAACCAGAAATATGACTATTAATCTTTACCTTTTTTTCCAGACTTATTTTTTTCTAGGAATGGTATTTTTGTTTGGTATATATTATCAGAATTATAAAATCTTAAAGCTTAAGGCAATTATTACACTTTGGGATGAAGTTTAAAAATCAAATAAGGAAAAATAGATATTAAGTTCTACATTTAGCTAGTACTATATTTAGTTAGTACTTCTTCCTACCAACTTACAGCCCCACAGTCTGGTGATAGTTTTTGGTAGAGTGCTGTTACTTACCTGTCCATGTGGAACTGTCATTTACTTAAATATAACACCTGCAGGGGCATGGCCACACATTATACTATTTTGTTTTTTCTTCCATGCCTCATACAACGCTGCACATACAACAGATGCTCAGAAAAAAGCTTCTGGATGATTTTTACTGATTTCATGCCATCACTAAGGTTAACACCCCTCAGAATCTCCCCATAGGCAGTAGTAGCCCAACCCAGGCCCTGCAGGGCCCAGTCTTGGCGACTTTCACATTCCAAGAAACTTGGTTTAGAAATCAAAGGTGGCTGGGTGCGGTGGTTCACGCCTGTAATCCCAGCACTTTGGGAGGCCGAGGCGGGCGGAACACCTGAGGTTGGGAGTTCAAGACCAGCCTGACCAACATGGAGAAACTCCATCTCTACTAAAAATACAAAATTAGCCGGGCGTGGTGGTGCATGTCTGTAATCCCAGCTACTCGGGAGGCTGAGGCAGGAGAATCGCTTGAACCCGGGAGGCGGAGGTTGCAGTGACCCGAGATCATGCCATTGCACTCTAGCCTGGGCAACGAGAGTGAAACTCTGCCTCAAAAAAAAAAAAAAAAAAGAAAAAAGAAATCAAAGGTAATTTAAAAGTTATTTAGTTACTTGAATCTTTACTTTCATTGCTTGAAGAATATTAAACAGAATTCAACTTGTAACCCATAATGGTAGTCTTAAATCCTCCTTGGCCCCATTCTTCTTTTCTTTCCCCTTTTCTTTTTTCCCTTCATTCCTCTTACTTCAGTATGTTCATGGCTGACTTAAAGCCCCCGTCTCAAAATCCCTACCAAAATTCTCTCTGAACTTGATCCCTTATGATTCTTGATTTTGCTTTTTCTTCCCCCTTCCTTTGGCTTCTATTCCTTCTTCCTTCCTGCCAGGAAATCACAGCCCTTGGCATCATCTTGGTACTCACGCTTGTTTCTTCACTCAGCCCTGCTCTCCTCGGTCACGATTCTGCCCCATGAGCAGTCAGAAGTGGAGCTGGCAAGCTCAGCCTCTCAGCAGGAGACACGGGAGTCAGGGCTGAAGGGAGAAGAGGGGAGAAGATCACAAATGCTCATCATCTAATGTCCTTTCTTTTATTCTCATTACACAGTGAAATTCTAATATATTTACTTATGGGGGTGGGCTACATGAAAGATCTCTGGAAGAAATATGTGGCAATTATAAGGGTAAAATGATAAAATTTTCTTTGAGGAGGGAGAACACTGCCTACCCATCCTCCCCTCTTTTGAGCGTCACCCTGACAACATAATAGTTCTGACCTTTTGATTTTACATGCAAGGACACGGGCCTTCTGACCTTTGAAACTGTCAACACTTACCTCTAGGATTTTGCTGAGGTCTCTCATAGGTATAATGATGGGTGTAATGAGACATCACACAGTACATCCTTTTGTCTCTCATAGAAATAAGAGGTTTTAGGCCAGGCGCGGTGGCTCACGCCTGTAATCCCAGCACTTTGGGAGGCCGAAGTGGGCAGATTATGAGGTCAAGAGATCAAGACCAGCCTGGCCAACATGGTGAAACCTGGTCTCTACTAAAAATACAAAAATTATTTTTTTTTATTTAATTAAAATAAAAAGCAGGCATGGTGGCGGGCCTGTAGTCCCAGCTACTCAGGAGGCTGAGGCAGGAGAATTGCTTGAACCTGGGAGGTGGAGTTTGCAGTGAGCCAAGATTGAGCCACTGCACTCCAGCCTGGGCAACAGAGTGAGACTCTGCCTTAAAAAAAAAAAAAAAAAAAAAAAAAGGCAAAATGGCAAAGTATACCTGGTATATGACCGCTAGACTGGTAAGGGAAAAATGCCACAAGTGAGCGTGCATACAACTCCAGTAAACACAGTGCACATGCGGCCCCTCCCAAATGCCAGTAGGCCACCGCACAGGCAGACAACCCCACAAAGGAAGAATAAAGGGAGAAGTAATGCAGACCCCAAAAGAATGCCAACACATAAAACTCCAAATCAATGGTCAAACAGTACACTTGATCTCTCAAGTTGCCCGCCTGGCCCTCTTCCAAGTGTACTTTATTCTCTTTCATCCCTGCTCTAAAGCTTTTGAATAAACTTACACTCCTGCTCCAAAACCTGCCTCATTCTCTTACTCTGTCTTACGTCCCTTGGTCAAATTCTTTCTTCTGAGGAGGCAAGAGTTGAGGCTGCTGCAGACCCATACGGATTCACCACTGCTAACACAAGTAATACTCAAAATGCAGTATTCCTGGGTGAGAGTGAACTTAGGGAGCATCCAATAGTGCTTACTTCCCTCTTGACCCATGTAGATACCAACAGATGATCCCTGAAATATTGTATTCAATTTGGCTAACTCTGTACACATTCCTGATGAAGGCTGCTATAAGAGATTCAGAAATGACAGGAGGACAGTAGGACAGAATTCAAAAAGTGTGTGTTAGTATTCCAGGATATGGGATGTGAAGCTACCACTCACCCAGTTGCTTAAGCCACAAACCTAAGAGGCTTAATTCCTCTTTCCCTCAGCCATCATATCCAATTGACTCTACTCTCAATCCACATCCTAAATCCATTCACTTATTCCATTTTCACCACTTCTACCCTAGTTCAAGCTCCCAACAATAGCCTCGTAACTAGTCTGTTTCTACTTTTGTTCCTCCATAGAAGCTGGTGTGATGTTTTTAAAAATATATAAAGCATAAGGTGACTTGCCAACTCTCAGATGGCTTCTCATCACATTTTATTTTGTTGTTCCTGTTGCTTCCATACATCAGATTTAAAATAAAATCTAAATTCCTCATCTGAAAAGGCTCAGATCTCCCCTTGTACCTCTCTGTTCTTATTCACTGAGCTTCAGGCACACTGGCTTTCTTTCTATTCCCCCAACACACCATGCTGGTTGAAATGTACTTTCACATGGCTCCTTGTAAGGACTCAGTTTAACTGTTTACCTACTGCAGAGGACTTCCGACTGCTTATTCTGAAGTCGCCATCCAGTTGTTCATCATATTGGTGTGTTTTCTCAGCACCACACTTATTTCTAGTTGTTTCCTGTGGGTGTATATGTGTGTGTGTATTTGTGTGTTCAACTGCTCAATTTTTGTTGAATGAATGGACTGGTAAGCCCTATTCCTCCAATTTTTTAGATGAGCAACAGAAAATATTGAGCAGGGGTTAAGACTCTTAACAACTTTCATCTTTTTTTAACCTTCTCCACAACAGCAATTTTATCTTCTGTCAATTTCTCTGTCATGATTAGCAATGAAACTTTTGCTACGGAAAGTGGTTATGTTCAGAGGCAGCAAAGAGGAATGGCCTGGAGACTTGCAACTCACTCCATATGTAGACTTGAAGAAATAAGAACACCAAAGGATTGGGGTGGAGAGCAGTGGCTTTAAACAGAGAAACAAAATATGCTGAGTTCCTATAGCCTCCTACAGAGAAGAAAC